CTAAAGAAGCTCCTGGTCTCTGGCTCCCAACTCTGGCCATTGTAGCCACTTGGGGAGTGAGCCAGCAGAAAGAAAACCTCTTTCTCTCTCTCTACATTTGTCTCTATATGCTGCCTTTCAAATAAATAAATGAATAAATAAATCTTTTTTTTTTTTAAAGTAAGAAGGGGCTGGCGCTGTGGCGCAGCGGATTAATGCCCTGGCCTGAAGTGCCAGCATCCCATATGGGAACCGGTTTGAGTCCTGGTTGCTCCAATTCTGATTCAGCTCTCTGCTATGTCCTGGGAAAGCAGAAGAAGATGGCCCAAGTCCTTGGGCCCCTGCACCCATATGGGAGACCTGGAAGAAGATCCTGGGTCCTGGCTTCAGGTTGTGCAGCTCCAGCCCTTGTGGCCAATTGTGGAGTGAACCATCGGATGGAAGACCTCTCTCTCTCTGCCTCTCCTCTCTCTGTGTAACTCTGACTTTCAAATAAATACATAAATCTTTAAAAAAATAAAAAAGTTAATACCAAAATATACTTTCATAAACCTATCATAATATACTTCAGTAATGACACTAAAACTAGAATAATTCTAGCTAATAATTCTGAGTACAACAAGAAAATATTTACCTGTAATTTCTGTTGTGTTTATAATTTTGTTCCATGGGCTCCTAAGCATGACTTTTAATTTTGTTGATTTTCTATTCAATAATTTTATTTATTTATTTTAATATAATTATTTGGAAGGCAGAGTTACAGAGCCAGAGGGAGACACACACAAACACACATACAGACACAGAGAGAAAGATAGAGAGAAAGAGAGAGAGATCTTTCATCTGCCAGTTCAAATACAAATGGTCACAATGGTCAGGGCTGGGCTAGGCTGAAGCCAGGAGCCTGGAACTCTGTCCAGGTCTCCATCATGGGTTGCAAGGGCCCACATATTGGGTCATCCTCTGCTGCTTTCCCTAGACACATTAGCTGGGAGCTGGATCAAAAGTGGAGCAGCTGGGACTCAAACTGGTACTCATATGGGATGCTGGGATTGTAGGTGGTGGCTGAATACACTGAGCCACAATCCAGGCCCCATATTCAATATTTTAAAGAGGGCATAATACAATTTTAATTCTGTTTTGGATTGTGGGGGTTGTTCACAATTTTAGTACTTTGGTTTACATTTCATTTTGGAAATTACTAGAATACAGCAAAAAACAATTAGTACTTTCTTAAGTGGCTTGACAATTGGAATGCAATTTAAGAACCCAGTTTCAGCACCTTGGTCAGAGCAATGGGATAAAGAATGTTATGGTACACCTTGGAACTCAACAAAGCAGGCTTCCATAGCCTTGGCAGCTCATGACAAGAGCCTCGGGTGATTACTGATGCCATAAATAAGAGTGTCAATTGTTAAATCAACAACGGGAGTCATTGTGCACCTACTCCCCTTGTAGGATCTCTGTCCTTAATGTGTTGTACTATGAGAATTGATGGTAAAACTAATCTTCAAACAGTACTTTATACTTTGTGTGTCTGTGTGGGTACAGTCTGTTGAAATCTTTACTTAGTATATACTAAGTTGACCTTCTGTATATAAAGATAATTGAAAATGAATCTTGATGAAGAATGGGATGGGAGAGGGAGTGGGAGATGGGATGGTTTCAGGTGGGAGGGAGGTTATAGTGGGGGGGGGAAGCCGCTATAATCCAAAAGTTGTACTTTGGAAATTTATATGTATTAAATCAAATTTGAAAAAAAAGTACAAGAAAAATAATAATGTTTCTATGTGCCAAAAGATACATTTTAAAAAATTGTTGAAAATGGGTGCAAGATTCACATAGAATGACTCTGTTAATATTCACTAAATTCTTTAGGTAGTTTCAGTTTAACAAACTGAAAAAAGAATTTGGGAAGATTCCCTCTCTTTCAATTGTTCTGAATAGTTTGAGAAGAATTGGAGTTAAATGTCTTTAAATGTCTGGTGGAATTCAACAGTGAATCCATCCAGTCCTGGGCTATTCTTTGTTGGGAGGGACATTATTACTGATTCAATTTCTGACTCAGTTATGGGTCTGTGTAGGTTTTCTATGTCTTCATGGTTCAATTTAGGTAGGTTGTATGTGTTCAGGAATCTATCCATTGCTAATAGATTTCCCTGCTTGCTGGCATACAACTCTTTGTAGCAATTTCTGATGACTCTTTTTATTTCTGTGCTGTCTGTTGTTATATTCCCTTTTTCATCTCTGATTTTATTGATTTGGGTCTTTTCTTTTTTTAGTTAGTTGGGCCAATGGGGTGTCAATTTTGTTTATTTTTTCAAAAAAAAACAGCTCTTCGTTTTGCTGATATTTTGTAATGTTTTATTTGGATTCAACACTGTTGATTTCTTCTCTAATTTTCATTATTTTTTTTTCTCCTACTAGTTTTGGGTCTGGTTTGCTGCAGTTTTTCTAGATCCTTGAGTTGCATTGATAGCTCATTTATTTGGTGCCTTTCCAATTTCTTGATGTGGGCACCTATTGCTATAAAGTTTCCTCTTAACACTGCTTTTGCTGTATCCCATAAGTTTTTTTTTTTTTTTTTTTTTTTTTTTTTTGACAGGCAGAGTGGATAGTGAGAAAGAGAGACAGAGAGAAAGGTCTTCCTTTTTGCCATTGGTTCACCCTCCAATGGCCGCCGCTGCTGGCGCGCTGCAACCAGTGCACCACGCTGATCCGATGGCAGGAGCCAGGTACTTATCCTGGTCTCCCATGGGGTGCAGGGCCCAAGGACTTGGGCCATCCTCCACTGCACTCCCGGGCCATAGCAGAGAGCTGGCCTGGAAGAGGGGCAACCGGGACAGAATCCGGCGCCCTGAAGGGACTAGAACCCGGTGTGCCGGCGCCACAAGGCGGAGGATTAGCCTAGTGAGCCGTGGCGCCGGCCCCCCATAAGTTTTGATATGTTGTGTTGTTATCCTCATTTACTTCCAGAAAGTTTTTGATTTCTCTTTTGATTTCTTCTATAACCCACTGTTCATTCAAGAGCACGTTTAATCAATAAATAATTACTGTGTAACATTTAAAGTTGTCTAATAATGAAACTAGTCTGGAAAATTATTGTGTCCCTCATTACTGTATGTGATAAATCTCAGGAGAGAAACTATCCACCAGGTGTGAGAGAAGTGATTTCTTTTTGTATAAGAACTTAGATGAGGGGCCGGCGCTGTGGCGCAGTGGGTTAACGCCCTGGCCTGAAGCGTTGGCATCCCATATGGGCACTGGTTCTAGACCCAGCTGCTCCTCTTCAGATCCAGCTCTCTGCTATGGCCTGGGAAAGCAGTATAAGATGGCCCAAGTCCTTGGGCCCCTGCACCCACATGGGAGATTGGGAAGAAGCTCCTGGCTCCTGGCTTCAGATCGGTGCAGCTCCGGCCATTGCAGCCCAATGGGGAGTGAACCATCGGATGGAAGACCTCTCTCTGCCTCTCCTCTCTCTGTGTATCTCTGACTTATAATTCTTTTTTTTTAAAAAGAACTTAGACGAGGCAACTTAAATTCTTAGACCTAATGATCTAATGGTGTCACTACTGTGTTAAGATGTTTCATTAAGCTGCATAACGCATGTCCTCAGAGCCTTGGCTCTCCCTCCCAAAAGCTGTGTGACTTTGGGCAAGTCACTTTCTTTCAAAGGTCATGGTTTCATCAGACATTTTTCAAAAGAGGAAATCCAAATGGCCAACAGACACATGAAAAAATGTTTAGGATCTTGCCATCAGGGAAATGCAATTCAAAACCACAATGAAGTTTTACCTCACCCTGGTTAGAATGGCTTACATACAGAAATCAAGTAACAACAGATGCTGGGTAGGATGTGAGGAAACACTAATCCTCTGTCGGTGGGAATGCAAACTGGTAAACACACTATGGAAGTCAGTTTGCTCAGAAACCTGAATATAGCCCTACCATACAACCCAGCCATCTCACTCCTTGGAAAGATCTCTGTGAGTGAGATCCCAGTGGAAAGAACAGGCCATCAAAGAAGCCAGTACCTTTCTCTGAAGGGAGGAGAGAACTTCCACTTTGAATATGACCTTGTCTAAATAAGATTGGAGTTGGTGAACTCAAGAGGCTTCCATAGCCTTGGCAACTCATGAAAAGAGCCTCGGGTGATTACTAATGTCATAAATAAGAGTGTCAATTGTTAAATCAACAACAGGAGTCACTGTGCACCTGCTCCCTTATAGGATCTCTGCCTTTAACGTGTTGTACTATGTGAATTAATGGTAAAACTACTACTCAAACAGTACTCTATACTTTGTGTGTTTTGTAGGTGAAGTCTGTTGAAATCTTTACTTAGTATATACTAAGTTGATCTTCTGTATATAGATAATTGAAAATTGGCCGGCGCCATGGCTCAATAGGCTAATCCTCCACCTTGCGGCGCCGGCACACCGGGTTCTAGTCCCAGTCAGGGCGCCGGATTCTTTCCCGGTTGCCCCTCTTCCAGGTCAGCTCTCTGCTGTGGCCTGGGAAGGCAGTGGAGGATGGCCCAAGTCCTTGGGCCCTGCACCCCATGGGAGACCAGGAGAAGTACTTGGCTCCTGCCTTCGGATCAGCGTGGTATATCGGCCCCAGCGCGCCAGCCATGGCAGCCATTGGAGGGTGAACCAACGGCAAAAGGAAGACCTTTCTCTCTGTCTCTCTCTCTCACTATCCACTCTGCCTGTCAAAAAAAAAAAAAATTAATCATGATGAAAAGTGGGATGGGAGAGGGAGCGGGAGATGGGATGGTTTCAGGTGGGAGGAGGGTATGGGAGGAAAAGATGCTATAATTCAAAAGTTGTACTTTGGAAATTTATATTTATTAAATAAAAGTTTAAAAGAAATAAAAATAAACAGAAAAACAAAAAAAAAAAAAAACTAAACAATCGGAACCCTAGGGCTAGTAAAGCATTGAAAACCACCTAATCCTAAAAATCCCTTAACATATGGACAAAGACTTTTGCCTGTTATTTATTCCTTTTATAAATATTCATAAATTGAAATCCCTTTCAACATTGTAAATATCCCTATTAAATACATTTTTCTGGTGTAATTATAAAAATTTTCAAAATAGTGTTCTAGATCTAGTTTTTTGCTGTTAAATGGACAGCTAACACTAAGATTCTGGATATTTTGAGATCAATAATTTGACATCAGTGTGGAATGTATGTTATTCTTTAAAGGAAACAGTTTAGTGAAAATATATTACAATGCAATCAGTGCTTACAATCTTTTAGCATATTGATTGACATCTGTTCATTTGGATAATGTACACGCAAATCACAACAAAGTATAACTTTAGTAATAGAACTGCTTATAAAGGAATAACATTATCGAAATTGCTTAGGATCTTACCTGAAGAATGAGATCACTCCCCAAGTTAATAAATCAAAGAAGTAATAGTCTTCCTTGGCTAGATATTGAAATGCTTTTGATTTTACATGCAGAAATAAGTTTTTATTGTTGGTCTTAGTTGTATAAAGGAAGCAGTGCTTAAGACGAAATTTCTGGATGATAGATATTGTGCTTTCCAAGATGAAGTGCAATAAGAGTGCTAGAATTAAGTGAATGAGTCTAGATAAAGAGATTGCAGACAGCAGTATCTATCTCTCTCCTCTCTATCTTTTTCTTTCTCCCACTTTATCTCCCTTAATTCTGTAATTTCTATTTAATAACTGAATGCAATGCAACAGAGACTACAAACAAATGTTAATGAACAATAATCAGAATGAGATAAATATGGATGCTATAAGCTTCTTGTAATTCTTTCTAGTGACTATATTTGGCATTATGCTTTCCAATGAATCCTTTACTAGTTTCCTTACACTCATCAACCTGTAAACTCTTTTAAGACATTGGCTATAGTTCCTAGAACATAAAATCACACTTTGAACTTAATAGGAAAACAGTGGACATTTATTGAATTAAATCCATAGAAATATATATAACTGATTTTAAAATATCATATTTTATTAGGTGTGAAGTTGTATGCTGTAAAATGAAATTTAAATAGATTTTTGCTTCACATGAGGTTATAGAGAATGACAGATTATTAACATATGCATAGCTCTTCAGTTATAAGGTTATCTCACAAAACTTTCAGATAGGGAAAATGCTTTATCTCCATTTTACAAGTGAATATATTGAAATTGAGAAAGGTTTAATTAATGTATAATATTGTAGGTCATTGGAAGGATCTTATTTCCATCCACAAGAAAGCTCATCTCAGTCTTCAGCCCTTTTAGCTTCCATTGTTGCTAAAAAAGGATTATAAGAAATCTTATCCATCCTCTATATCTTTTTAAATGAAAGTACTATATTAAATAATAATATTATTGTAGAAATTTGGAGTGGAGATGATAGGATGGGATAAATGTGACTAGTCATGCTCCTTGAAGGCAAAGAAAGAAAAAGATTAGTTTCTGGCAGTATGGTGCTTTGTCTCCCAAAGGGATGTACACACTGTTCTGTTGATGGGTGGGGCCATGTCCAGCAGGGTGCGGATGCTGGGGATCAAAGCAGATGCTAGCCACAAACTCTGTGGTCTCTACATGGTGGCATATCACAGGAGACTGAAACGAATAAAGGATGTGTTTTGGCCTTTGTCTCATTGTAGGAAGAGTCCTGAGTTCTCACTACATACTCATTGAAAAACTTCTCTTGTTATTAGTTTCACAACAATCGTAGGGTTTTGAGGGACCATTATATTTAGAAAGCTCATGAGTTAACTTGGCCTAATCCCAGATTACCCAGCCATTTAGCATTCCAGATACTTTTGATATGAAAAATTACTGCAAATAATCTTTTCTATGCCTTATTTTTTCAGGTTACATACCTGGAAAAGATACGAGAAAAAAAATCTGTTGTATACCCATATAATTTAATCCTTGACTTCCAAAGTAAGTGGACAGAATTCATGTGGAGTCAGCATTGTAAATACTACTAATCTCTGTTTTACTTGCCCTTAGAGTGATATCTAAAAGGTTGGACAATAAGAGATGTAATGTCATTACTTGATTAAATATATAAGCTATTTCCTCTGTAAGGAGGGGAAGACAATGACTATCCCAAGGGTGATGTATACGATTCTAATTTATGCTTTAATAAGAACAGCAGGATTTGGGACAGAGATTCATTTCTCTTGTGAAGTATCTATTTTTAAAGAAGCATAATCCATCATGGGAAGCGGGATACACAGCCGACTCATAGAATGGCAGATGTCCTAAATAGCACTCTGGCCTCAGAATCAGCCCTTAAGGCATTCGGATATGGCTGAAGAGCCCATGAGAGTATTTTAGGCACGGAAAGCCAAGACACTCTGGGAAAAAAAAATAAGAATACCTAAATGAAAGATCTCTGTGAGTGAGATCCCAGTAGAAAGAACGGGGCCATCAAAGAAGGAGGTACCTTTCTCTGAAGGGAGGAGAGAATTTCCACTTTGACTATGACCCTGTCAGAATAAGATCAAAGTTGGCGAACTCAAAAGGCTTCTATAGCCTTGGCAACTCATGACTAGAGCCTAGGGAGATTACTGATGCCATAAACAAGAGTGTCAAATTGTTAAGTCAACAACAGGAGTCACTGTGTACTTACTTCTCATGTGAGATCTGTCCTTAATGTGTTGTCCAATGTGAAGTAATGCTATAACTAGTACTGAAACAGTATTTTACACTTTGTGTTTCTGTGTGGGTGCAAACTGATTAAATCTTTACTTAATATATACTAAATTGATCTTCTGTATATAAAGATAATTGAAAATGAATCTTGATGTGACTGGAATGGGGGAGGGAGCGGGAGATAGGAGGGGTGCGAGTGGGAGGGAAATTTTGTGGGAGGAAAGCCATTGTAATCATAAACTGTACTTTGGAAATTTATATTTACTAAATAAAAAAAGCATATAATACTTTGACCATAAAATATTCCTACTTTTCCATCCTACTCTCCTGATACCAAGTTTATAAAAGTGTTTTGGATTATTGAAATGGTAGAGAATGAATTAGTTCTCTTGTAAATGATATCAATCAGCAATGATAAGTTTCCTGAATGCAGAATGATGCTCTGATGAAAGTAATCAAACAATTCCATATCTGAGTCTTGTAATCATCTGAAACAGTCTGGCGACTCTAAATGTATTTAGTGGGGCCAACTTATATCACTATTGGTTATAGTGGACAGAGTATCATGGAAAGATTCCAATACTTAAAAGTCAGCATCAGGGTTCACATTGAGCCTCAACTCCTTACTACAGAGTTGTCGCTCCCCCTCTTCGTGGAGGAACGACACAGGACCCTGCGCTGTTCTTTCGTCTGCTCGGCCCTCCCCGGGTTTGCTGCTGGTTCTTCCCGGGTTGGCTACTATCCCTTCCACCTCCGTGGAAGGGCAGTTCCCCCCGGCCGCATTCCCCACTTCCGCAGGGGAGCGGCACACTGCCGGCCGGTTCTCTCGGGGGCTGCACGGGTTCCCTTAGATGTTCCCCATAGATGTTCCCGGTGCATGCCGTCTCTCTCCTCCTTTATAGTCCTCCTCCGCCAATCCTAACTCGGCTGCCCACACGCCGAGTACGCTGCTCTCCAATCAGGAGCAAGTCCTACAGTTTATTAGTTGAACTGGAGGCAGCTGTGCGGAAGCTGTTTACTTCTCTCCCAGCGCCATATTGTGGGAGAGCAGATGCATAGAATAAGTCTTAATTCCAGTAACAGTCTAGTCCGGTTTGCTCCCCACACAGAGTGACCCCCTACAACATTCAGGCAAGTTTTTCCAGCTTTAATATAGATATCACAATACATAACTCATTCTGATTAGGTGTTTCCAATAACCTATATTGATTACTTCTGTATTTCATAGTAATTTAGAGTAAAAGAGGTGTAGTCACAGATTTTTCCAGGGGGAGGGAATGTTTTAATGAAATGAAACAAAATCTGGGTTATTAATATTTAATAACAAAACAATCTCCATTTAGAGATGGGTTACTAGCCAGATTTTCTGTCCCAAATCATTTTCTTTTGATATTAATCTTCTCTTTATATAAATGACCTATATAATGACATCAGGGAAATCCTGTCCACAAATTGCATGTGTAAACAACAATTATTTTCATAATTTGCTGTGGTATAACTGAAAACAGTTTGGAACATTTATGTAAGGTTTTATTCACTTTCAGGGGAATAGACACACACATACATATACTTATATAGGAATGTATTTATACTTTTTAAATGACACACATTTATGTATTTATAGAGTATCGTGATATTTCAAAACATATACACATGTAATGTCCAATTAGGGAAAACATCTACCTCTTCAAGCATTTATATTTATTTATATTCAAATACCTTACTTCTGTCTTTTTTTTTTATTTTCAGGGTATAATGAATGGGCAGGAGAAGGAGAATGCTACAAAAGTTAAGAATATCATGGAACAGGCATTGTGGCACATCAAATTAGGCTGCCTACTTCAATACAGGTCTCACATAGTTATGCCCCAGCAGCTCCACTTTTCATCCAACTCTCTGTGTATATGACTGGGGAAGTAGTGAGAATTGTACGAGTTATTTGGATCTTTGACACCAATGTGGGAGACCAAGATGGAGTTCCCGACTCCTGACTTTAGCCTAGCCCTGTCCTGGCCATTGTGGCCACTGGGGATTTAACCAACAGATGGAAGATCACTACTCTCTGTCTCTCCTCTCTTCATCACTCTACCATTCAACTAAGTAAGATAAATCCACAAAAACATAAAATAAAATAAAGAAAAAAATATCTTAAGAGATAGGTTGTTCTTTAGGTTCACAGAGCTTGTCCTATACTGGTTTCCATCAAGCTTTTGTGTGATGTTTTGTCTTAACATCACTCAAGAATCTGTTTCCAATCAAGCCTTCCTTGAAGTTCCAACCAGATTCCTGAGAGCTGTCCCTGAACACGAAGATCCAACCATCCATGCAAGAAATTCTTCAATTGTGAATGAATTATTCACTTCCTTTAATGAAGCAAATTTAATTCACATTTCTCTCATTTACTGATGAGTTAGTTTTAACACCTGTTTGATCTTTATATCTTCAGCACAGCATGAAACAGGTTATACCTATTGAATAAGAGCCTCATTATTAATCATATAACTATTCCATGCATTTGAAAAATGCGGTGCATATTTTCCATGACATAAATTTTATAGTAGAAATGGGTACAGAAAACTTTTGCTTAATTGAATGCTCCATTTATTGTTAAATGTCTCTGAAGTAATGACCAGAGGTAAGATTTCATGTTTTTTTTCTCATTTATTTATTAGCTATAGACTTATTACAAAAATTGACTCATATATAATTAGAAATACTTAAATCACAAAGGAATCATATCATTTAAAATATTAAATGTTAAATTGCATTTTACATTTGTAAATTATCCAATAGAAAATCAAAACTGAATCTCTGGTTATGTTCATGTAACAAAAACTATCGATAAAATAAAAAAATGTTAAAAAATATACCATATACTTGTACCTTGTAAACCAGTGCTATTTGGCTTAGTGAAGAACAAAGAAAAATGAGGCATTTATTATTTAATTTTATGTTAACCTTTTGGTAAACTGAAATCAATGTATAGCTGTGTGTCCTGACTTCATATGCAAAATGTAATATCTAAAAAGTATTATTGGATGCATTAACTATGCACTTTTCCCTCTACCTGTGATATAGGTCAGTTGTTGAATACATTCATGTCGGTTTTTAAATTCTTGTCTGTTTTCTTTAGAAAAAGTAAAGAAGTTCTTCCCATTGATTTACACAATTTTATAACTTTTTTCAGAATTATAATTTGGTATCAAGGCTGTCTTAAATGATCCCATTCATTAAATTTCATCTGTATAACAGGTTTTCCAGTCGTCTTTATTTTCCAGATTGAAAAAGGCTTTATTTTTAGATGATCAGAAGACACTGGAAATGTCACCATATTTTAAAAAATGATATTAGACTCTAATTTTTATGTGAGGTTAAGTAAGAGAGTGCTATACCCATAAGGCATTTGATTCTTTAGGCTACTTAAAATCTGAAAGCCTCATTAATGTATCCCAAAGGTGGGAAAGAACTCTTTAGCCATAAATGCCAAAGATATTCATCTGTCCATATACAACACATAAAAGAGGAAAAATAAAAGGAGAGTGGTTATCAGCCAGAAGGAGAATATCTATTATTTATATTGTTATGCACAATATAAAATATTTATTGCAATCACAAAAGTATTTAGATTTTTCTTCTTTTCCTGTTTTACTAATATCTTAATAAAATACTAACAGTGGTTTACTGGAGAGGCATGGTAAAATCATAAAAGATAGAACATAAATTCACATGGAAGACAATTTCTCAAACATTAGTGAAAGGATTTTCTACGTTTAAGTCCAATGTATATCAATTGACTATAGAAAGGTTTATAAAACTATGTGATTTTCTTCTATAATATTATTCATGATATGCCCAGAACAAGTTATCATAATTTACTACAAATGCACTGTTTATTCTTTAATTCCTGCTGAGACCAAATTTGATTAAAACTATCAAAAGCTGTCATACTTCCTGTGGCTTTGTTATATGCACCATTTTCCTTATGTTAAGCACAGGTATTTTCCATTGTCCTGAACACACGATAAGCGCATAAAGCAGGCAAGGTAAGTATTTGTTAATTACTCAATTTTGTTTTACAGTATGAATATTATACTTTCAAAATTATGGGTTTTTTTAATTTCTTGTACCATAAAGCACAGTTAATTCTAATTCTTATATTTTTTTTAAAGAGATCAATTTTACCCACCAGGAAAATAGATATTACTATAAAGGCACTTTTTTTTATCTTTTTCTCACCTTTTTCCTTTTTTTCCCTACAGAAAATAGAATGTGCTTTATTCCTCCCTAAGTCATGAAAATATCCCAGAGAATACTATTAATTACTATATTTGATTCCTCTTTATGGATTATGAAGAAATCTGAGTAGTAACAAAATTTTAGAAAGTATATTTTTTTTCACATCACCAAAGCAAAGAAGCAATCAAACTGCAGCACAAACAAAGGGAATGTTTTTGTTATAAGGAATTCCAAAATGCAAGCCCATTCTTGAAGACATTTATTGTGCAAGTTAACTTCTTGAGTGGTGGTGAAGAGAAAATGAGAACAGACTTCAGCATGGTGAACTTCACATTAATCGATGTTTGATTAAAAACCATAGGCGCACCTCTTTCATGTATTAGCTGTTATGGGAATACTAAGGAGTGAAGGAGACTAACATGAGTACTAAAAGTACATGATTTTTTAAATATTTAAAACAAATACTTGATATCAATAGTTGTATTCAATCATGTATCTATTTTTGATGTGATTTATATAGTTACATAGTCAGATTCATTTTGCAAAATAGGCTCAGACTAGAAAAAATTCTGTAATTTTCAAAGTAATCATTTTAATGTTGACTAAATGATTCATATTTCTTTTTGCTTTTCAAAATTGAATATAAAGTTGACTCTACATAATATCTGTAATGTCTATCAAAACTAAACAGGAGTGTTAGCTGGGATAGTCATTTGGTAATAAGCCAAGGCATCCAGTTTCTTTCTTTTTTTTTAATTTTTTTTATTTAACAGGTAGAGTTATAGACAGTGAGAAAGAGAGACAAGAGAGAAAGGTCTTCCTTCCGTTGGTTCACTCCCCAAATGGCCACCACAGCCAGCACTGCGCCGATCGAAAGCTAGGAGCCAGGTGCTTCCTCCTGGTCTCCCATGCGGGTGTAGGGGCCCAAACACTTGGGCCATTCTCCATTGCCCTCCCGGGCCACAGCAGAGAGCGGACCTAGAAGAGGAGCAAGTGGGACTAGAACCTGGCACCCATATGGGATGCCAGCGCCGCAGGCAGAGGATTAACCAAGTGAGTTACGGTGCCGGCCCCTTCCAATTTCAATATTAGTAATTATCTATTATAATGCCTATATTCTGCAGCTTAGAGGGAGGGAGCTTTCTCTTCACACAATGGCGGGGGTTTTCTCAAGATCACAACAGATCATGAGGATGGTGACAGTGTCTAAATTAGTCACATTTTATCATGACCCCATAGCACAGTGCCTGGTACAAAGTAGTGTTAGATCTTTTTCAAATGTTTGGGTAGAATGATGAAAAATGAGCTCATGAGTGAACAAGTGAGACAATGCAAAGCTATGCTTGACTAATTTTCAGGAATAAGAGTTTGTCTATATTGGGTTGTTTAGGACAATAACATTTTGTTACCGCAATCTTTCAAAAATAATCTTGTTATGATTAAAGAAATAATGTTGAATAACTGTAGCTACTATATCATGCAGCATTTTGAATGGAATTTTAGTTCTCTTTAATTTATAAAATGTGATCACTGGTTTGATAGGAATCTTTCCCACCACCACTGCAGGACACTTCCTAAACTGCCCTGGACATAGCATTATTCATATTCACATTAGGTCTTCAGTAGTGCTGACAGACAAAGGCACTAGTTTCTACCCCATTCCCAGATATTTCAACACCCAGCAGCAAATACTTGATATAGTCACTTGACTCATTCTGCGGGAATTTTTCAGAAATAAGGAATAAGGGATGAAGAAAAGTAAAAGGTCTGTGATCTTTCAAACTGCTTGACAAAAGAAGAAAAGTTGTTAAGCTGGTTGTAATTGGAAAAGTATATCCAGGTTTTGAAGGACCATACCAGTGATTGGAAAATACATTTACAAGGAGAGAACAAAGGGAGGAAATCAATGGCAGCTGACAGTGTGTAAACAAGTCAAATTTAAGTCAAAGAAGAGCAGACACGTTTCATTACAGATTCTTGGAAGCCATTCCCTGCAGGTTTAAGTGAATCACTCAAAGTGACATTTAAAGTGGCAGGAGACGGTCTGGGCAATTGCTTCTAAGTTCCATAGTTAGGTTCAAGTGCAAGAAAGGTCTTTGTAAACAGAGTTCATGGCAGTGTTTGTGATAGAAGAGGAGGGGTCATTAAGATTGCTTAGGGACCCAGGTAAACTTCCAGCCTCCCTCCTCATCTCGGCGCACAAAGGCTTGTCCTTGGTGGAAGGAATGGGTTTTCACATTGCAGTGAGGGCTCAGGGATGTGGAAAATGCCATTTCTGTCTTGTTGGGTGACACATCAGCAGTATAGTACGGAAGGGTTTTCTTCCCCAAGGAGGCATCTAAATGTTGAGAAAGGAAGTGAAAATCTTCCCTATGGCTGGCAGTGCTGTGCAGTGGGATTGTTCTATCACCTCCATAGTCAATGGGCAGCTCCTCTCTGGGGACATCTTCATAAACCACTGCATCATCTGGAAACTCAGAAAATGTGTCAGTGATGCTTCTGGGATGAGAGGAGAGGGCACTGTAGTTAGCTGATAAAGTGTCATCAATGGTGTTAAGGTCTTTTAACCCAAGTGTCTGAAGGACCCAGGGATCCACAGGAGGCCCAGGTTGTTCTTCACATTTAGCAAAGTCAGTAGAGAGGTTTCTCTTCACATTTTTGGGGTAGGGAATCTCAGTTAAAGAGTATCTTTGCTGTTTGGGTTTCCTCTTCCCCTTTCTGAATTTTCCATATGCTTTGTAGAATTCATCTGATGACAGCAATTTCTGGGGGAGTGATATTTGAAAATTATGCCTCCTTCTAATACATATTAGTTACCTTAATCCTTTAGAAAATTAAAGTTCTAGTTCTTCGTGCACAAGTAGAATTGATTGGATAGCTTCTGTCTGTGAAACAGGATCTACAATGACAAGTTACCACCTAGAAACTCTAGTTCACATTTTTTATTTTATATTTTCAAAGTTGATAGGAGCACATCATGTCTGTAATATTTCAACTCAAACAATAATTTCTAATTATGTTGATGACAATAAAAGCAACTATAATTTATTGAGCTATGATAAATAAAATGGCATTTATTATAAATTAATATGTGTGAGATTAAAGGTATTATTTCATTTGATATGGATAAAATTAAAATTTCCATAAAGGAGGGAACTAAGGTACGGGCATAATAGTGGTGTGCTGGGGATAACATAGCCCAGATTTAAATCTAAACCATCTGAATTAAGACAGAACCTCTGATTCAAATGTTATACAACATTGCTTCCTCTATTTCATTAATTTTCAAAGTGCTCCATAAAGCATGGCATTATATGATTCTAAATCTTGCAAAATTGAGGACATGAGAGGTAAAACTGACTAATTAATATCACGGAACAATTTAATGAATGTTCTTTTTATGGAATGGTGACTGGAGTTAGATGCCCAGGCTAAGAATTGTAAGATGTAATTGCTTTTTTAAAAAGTTAACTGAATTGAAAAGAAATAAAATCTAGCATCCTTTATTCTCTGACTTTAATATTCAGTAAAAGTAGCAAGAAACATTAACAATTCAGATTAAATAATATCAAATAATCCAAGTTGTCTAGAAGTGAGGTAAAGATTAATGATAGAAGCAATAATGTTAGCTTAGTGGCACATATATAATGAAAAGCACAAAATTAGAGAACAAAAAAAGACTTTGGGCAAACTATGCTTAAGTCAGAAATAGTTCATTTTAAAATGTAGTAAAATGCAAATTAATATATAATGTAATTTGCTGTATTTAATTTCTAATCTCTTGAAAAATCTTAATTGATCCATTTACAGATGATGATAAATGAAGCCCTGAGAGTGATTTATTTAAAGTCAACTATACAATGAAAAGAAATGGATATTTCAGATCTTAGCATATGAATCTTTTCTTTAATCCCTGTAGTTCCAGCAGTGCAGGATACTTTTGATTCTTGAGCATCTTGGTTCTAATGTATAGTTAAAATCTGCCATCTAGATACTTCAGAGAAAGGACACATAAACAAACTTAAGAGAGGCCTGTATGTTCTTAGGAGAAGCCCATCTGTCCTATAAAGGCACATCAGGACACACTGTATAGTATACTTACATTTAATTAAGGAGTTTTACATAAATGGTACCCTTTCTCAGATCTCTGTTCTGTCCCTATAAAGGATATCCTTACATACCTTGGCCTTCTCTTCCAGGCACTTAACCAAAGTAGAATTCAGGTATTGTCTGAGATGAGCATTCTCTTCATGTAGCCTAGCAAGTTCTTCTTCCTTCTGCACCAGAGTATCCTGCAGCTGCAACAAGCAATGGTAAAGGTTGATCCACTATATTGACTCTGTAACCTTATAGCCATGCCACTGCTCCTTAACTTGCTTAAACTTGATTATTCCTCTGTTTGTTTTATGAGCACAACTTCAGGGAGCACTTGTCCTCAGAGACCTAAATTACATCTACACCCTCTACCACCTGATTGTTCAGTTTTATGCTCAGATTTTTCAATCCATTGCAATATGCTTTGATTACATGACTTTTTTTTTTTTTTTTTGGACAGGCAGAGTGGACAGTGAGAGAGAGAGAGAGAAAGGTCTTCCTTTTTGCCATTGGTTCACCCTCCAATGGCCACTGGGCCGGCGCACGGAGCTGATCCGAAGCCTAGGAGCCAGGCGCTTCTCCTGGTCTCCCATGCGGGTGCAGGGCTCAAGAACTTGGGCCATCCTCCACTGCACTCCTGGGCCACAGCAGAGAGCTGGCCTGGAAGAGGGGCAACTGGGACAGAATCCAGCGCCCTGACCGGGACTAGAACCCGGTGTGCCGGCGCTGCAGGTGGAGGATTAGCCTATTGAGGCGCGGCACTGGCCGATTACATGACTTTTTAAATGGTAACCAAAAGGGTATCAGGTAGATATAAAGGAAAATGAACTGCATGCTACTGTTTAAGCATTAAAAAAGGTATTGAAAATGTTTTTGCTGAACTCCTTACTTGCACGAGATAGGGGCTGAGATATGGAGATGGAGATAGAGAGAGACAGAGAGTGTGCGTGTGTTTTAGTTCCTGTGACATTGATCATCTTACACTTAACTCCTGTGGACATGTACTACCCTGAGTGAATATCAGTTTCAAAAGGAAAAGAAGTAGTGTGGTATTAAGGAACAACTTTATGGAAAAAATGGAGCCCATACCTGGAACATAGCCAGTCTCAGTGTTCTGATTTCCTACACATACCTGCTTGTTTCTGTAGAGCTGAGAAGAAAGTTGAGCCTCTTCCCAGGAGCAGGGATCCAGAAGAGGAAAATGTGATTCACCGGATGGTTCTATGTGAAAATACCAAGTGGGCAACTGAGGAAACACTCTTGCAGTTTGTGTGCAGCTAGGAAACTCATTAATTATTTAAGAAGGTTTAATATATTGAAATACCTTACAAAAAGCAATTATTGCCTCCATGCAGGGAAACAAAATATTTAAAGCTTAGAAAAGAGGCAAGCAAGGTATGAGCAACAAATATGAAATACCAAAGTGGTTACAGAGGTGAATATTCTGGGAGCTGAAAGGTCACATTCTTTTCTAATATAAGAGTCCTGCTGGTTAAATTCATAAAAACTGTCCCATCTACATCATTAATTCGTTAAAATATGTATTGACACCTGCCTCTCTCCTCCCTAACCCCACACCCCACTAAGCAAAGTTTTTCAATTTCACTAGGCTTTCTAAAGTTATCTTGTTTTCTGGGCTTTATCATTAGATGATATCACATTTGGCTCTATAATCAAATCTCATTTTCTGATGCTATTGCTGTCCCTGTTTATCTGCCTATCTGCCTATCTCTTAAATTTGATGGACAGAATTTATTTGGAATTCTATATGGTAACAATTTCCACTTTAAAATAATTTGGACTTTACTTCTCTGAAGACTGCTGAAAATTTCAAAACTATACCCAAAATTTAACATGTTTTACCTGTTTTCTTCTGAATGTTTAGTGGTTTTCTGACAGATTATTTTCAAATTTGATAGGAAGTTAAATCTATAAATAAAAACTGCCTGGGCACTCTAAATTAGTTTATTTTTACCATCTCTTCCTTATGTAGTACAGTATGATTCCTTGCCCCCTCTATTTAAACTGCTGTTATTGAAATAATTTGGGCTAAAGTGGAAAGAGGAGAGACAGGAATAAAACTTTATGAGTTGTTTGAGTTTATCTTTGTTGGCATACTTTTTTCCCTATTGCTTGTGGTGAAAAACCTAAACTGAATAATTTCCTTCCTAAACATAATTGGGTTTCAATATTCGGGAGGAATTTTTGTGTCTTTTCTTAGAGCCTTCTCCCAAGAAATCATGTGGAATCAATAATACCAATGTTTATTTCTGAGGCACCTGAAAACTTTTCCAAAAACCTGATTGTTAAGACAGAAATTCTATGAAAGCTTACAAGTATATTTCCCTAGGCAACAGGTCAGAATTAACAGTGTATGTAAATTCCCATCAATTTATACATCCCTTCAAACTTGAAATGATTTTTCTATGAAGAGGAATCATTTTATTTTTTCATTTACAAGGAGCTGTTCATAGAATTTCCTTTGTAAAATAGTAGATGAAGCTTGGCTTTGTTCTTGGTTTTCTCTATTTAAAAAAAAATAACTTTCTTGAATTCACCTTAAAAATGCTCCAACTAATATATTCACTCTAAAATCACCCTGTTAGGTACTGTTTATAAAACTTTGACCCAGACCCAAACTCCCTCAGTGAATTGGGAATCCCCAAGAATTTTAAAATATAGAGAAAAATACATGGTGTTCTAGCAAGCCAAGGGATAGAATCCCATTTTTATTCATTGTCAAGAACAAACAATCATATTTATAGCTGCGAAGTTCAGGAGGCTATGAACTGACTTAAATTTTCCATATCATCCCTTCTTCTACAGGATCCATAGCCCATGATGCATTGCAGTTACGGGCACTGGAAAAGGCTCCAGATCTATGAGGAAAGTAGAAGAGCACAACTTACCCTGTGCCTGTGGTGCTTGTTGGGGCTCTCTGTTGTCCAGGAGACCAGCAGCCCAGAAAGAGACCCAAGTCTCCGTGGAAACGTCAACACTAGATTCTGACGTTGTAGCGGAATACGGGCAATTATAGCTCTGGCCTCCTACAAAGTACTGATCTTGGCAAGGTAGAATGGTGTTCTGTGAAAATCAGTATGAGTAGTGGTTGTGAGGGTGGGGGTCCCAGGAGATAAGGTGATGGGGAAAAGGGTGGGAGAAACATGGAGAAATTACATACAGTGAATCAAAAAAAAAAAAAAACAGTGAAAGCATTAAGTGCAGATTTGGATCAATTTTTGAGTTGTCAAATTAAAACCATTAAGTGGGATCAGCTCCTCAGTTTACCCAATACTTTCCAATGCCCTATGAGCAAAGAGCAGACTGGTATTGGAATGACCACATGTGTAAATATCTAAGAAGATTCTTTGTTGTGATGCCTCGCTCACCTAACAGGTTATCCACAAGCGAAGACAAAAGAATTCTACTAACGATTTAAAGACACATGACTTGTTCTCTCCTAAATATCTCAATTATATTTATAGTAACCTTGACTAAAAAGGAACCCAGATTCCCAAGGATAAAATGGACAAGACATAACATCATATAGACTAACCTCCTCATTTTAGTTGCTGAACCATATACTTACTAACTTGTGTGATTCTTCTCTTCTTCCTTTCTCCACCCAACATACTACTGGATCTACCTCTGATACAAATATGTCTATATTTTCTCCTCCCAACTCCAAATCCAAGTACAGGGGGCATAAAGTCACTCCAAGTAAGCACATAATCAAAGCTGAAGGAAGTCAGATGTCCGCAAGTGCTAGCTGTCTACTTCACTAGGGCCCAATGCCCTTCCAAAGTTATATCACCACAGCTAACAGACTGGCATGTATTATCCACTTCTTTCTGATCCACTGAACACCCTCCTGTCCCTCTTCTCAAACCTCAAACACAGTCTTCCCAAATGTGCAAGTAGGGGCAGGTACACAGCAGTCCTGGGTTAATCTGTACAACAGCCCATTCTTAATTATTTGTCAATGTTTAGTCAGGTAAAAGCCATTCACTTCAGCAGAGCCTAGTTTTGAACACACCTTTTTTGACCACTACAAGTCTTTTGTTGATTTTTGGACTTTTCTTGGGAATAACATAAATCGAAGAAACAAAAAAGAAGAGGAAAAAAATATTGTCAATTAAATCACAGTTTTTAAAAGTTCCCAATGAGTTAAATTTTCAAAAAGTCCAATTTTGAAGCCAGTCCAGCTTGGGCACTGCATACCGAAGAAATTCAGCCAAAAGTTTATCAAGAGGTATTTTCTTTTATTCTAAAAGCATGTTTGCAGACTCCTTCCCTGAGGTTATTATTGGAATCAGTTAAGCTATTATGCAATTGACACCTGAGAAGAAAACAAACCCTAAATACTCCTAGAGTAGTTCAAGTCCAAGTGTTTGCAAATATGTGCATAATATAGAGGAAGAGCTGGAATGAAAAGTGAGTGCAGGTGGAAAGTGAAAAGTGGGGGGAAAAAGTACGGAATGTACAAGAAGCAGAGAGGGTAAAACGATGAGAGACAGAGGGAAGAGGAAGGACAGTAAAAGCCAGCGGAGCAGCACAAGACCTGTTTGAAGCAGCAGGTAGCAGAGATACCTTGCTCTCAAAGTGAAATAAATTCTAAAAGCAAAGTTTATTAGCTTTCAGAGGCCCCAGGTTTCCCCAGGGACTAGCTAATGCCAGCTCCTCACTTACCATGTTGCAGTGGAAGAAGACGCGGCACAAACTGAGCCCGCTCTTAACTGTTGCGTTAAAGCCAGTGGGAGATGTAAATGGGACCGAGCGGGAGGACCTAGGAGAGACGAGTTCTAATCTGTGGGAGCTCCAGGTGACGCGCGGGACTCCGGGCAAGCGCCGCCCTCTGATTTGGCGCTAGGCTGTCAAACTGGTGACGTGGGTCAGGAGACACCCAACAGAAGCCAAAGTCATTCGTGCTGAGGGAGACCACCGCGCTGGAATTGCGGGTCAGGGCTCCTGGCTGTGGAGCAGAGGCAGGGTCCGCGGCGCCCAGCATCCGGGTGCGCAACGACGCTTCCAAACCCGCACCTGTGCACTCTCATAGTTTACCCGGCGATGGGCGTCGGCGGCGGCGGTGACCGCGCAGCCCGCCCAACCCGGCGGCCCTGAGCTCCCTCCAGTGCCTCCCCTGCAGCCGCTATGAAGGACTGAATGGCAGGTTGGCCCTGATGCCTGGGAGTAGGGTCAGGAAAAGCCCAAACTGGCTTCTTGGGGATCAGGGCGATCACTGCGGGATTCCACCCAACGGACCCCAGTGTTAGTTTTGCGTCTGTGTATTTTCTGACCACGTGATAAATCAATTTCAACTTGCAGTATAATGCTCCAAATGAATATTCCTCTCCCCCTCCATAGGGTAGGTCATATTTTCCCCAATTCCTGAAGTGGGTGCTAAATGGGAACCTGACATATTTGAGTTCTATGAGGTAAGCTTCAGGAGAAAGGCTATCTGTTCACTGAGCTCCCCAACACCTTGGGGAACAATCTTGGACACACGGTAAGTGCTCAATAAAGATTTTGACTTTTTTTTGGTAAGAATGAATTAAGTTACAAATTTAAGAATATAGAATATCTTTCTTTATATGGAGGCTACCTTTGCAACTACTATCACCTAAGATAATCTAATTAAGAAAAAGTAGCATATATTAGCATTTCTCAAAATATTTTATTTTCTCTATCTTTTTTGTTACATTTTATTCTCACAACATATCCCATCCTGTTATATGTAGAAAATAAAGAAGAGTAACACTATCTTTAAAACCACACATCCACCAATAATAGGCAATTCTTATTTCAACTTACCAACTTGATGGGCATTTGGCAATGACCCTGGGAGGCAGGCACTCTTACTGTCCCTGTCACACCAGATAGGGAATGAGGCACTGAAGTTAGGAAAATTGATGAATCTCTACACAATTAGGCAGTGACAGATTTAGCATTTGATCCTCTGACTATCGCATACATTCTCCTAACTAGCATGTATATGGTTTTTGACTCTGGATTTTTTACACTGAGCATGATAGCCATTTAGGAAATAGGCATTTTTACAGACTGAGTTTAATTTCCTCTCAAATTCATATGTTGAATCTCCAAACCCAGTGTCACTGCATTTGGAGATGGGGCATTTAAAGAAGTAACAAAGCTTAAATGAGGCAATAAGGTGGATCCAAAACCCAATGAGACTGGTGTTCTTATGAGTGGATGAAGGTACCTCAGGGATGACACACCCAAAAGCCATATGAGGAAACAGGCTGAAGGCATCCTTTGGGCTGGTAACACAAAGCTTCAGGAGGAGCCAACAACCCTGCTAACACCTTTTTCACTTTCTCATGGATTTCCATTCTCCAGAATTGCAAGACAATTAATTTCTGTTAAGACAACCCAATCTGTGGTATTTGTGTCATGGTAGCTCTGACAAACGAATATGAGTACTTCAAAAAGTTCATGGAAAGTTAGTCAAAGGATAAGTTTATATTATCACAAAAATGTTAAAATTCACAAATAGTTCTTTTTTCCATGACACGCATTTTCCATAAATATTTCAAAATCCCTAATAGTCGTGGTATAGGAATTAAGAAAACTTCTGATGCTGACTTTCATAAGCCTTTGTTGAAATCAGTTGTAGCTTTATAAATATTAATTATTTATTTGAAAGGTAACGCTACAGAGAGGGAGAGACAGAGAGAGGTCTTACATCCTCTAGTTCACTCCCAAAATAGCCACAATGGCTGGATCTGGGCTGATCAGAAACCAGGAGCCAGGAGCTTCATCCTGATCTCCCACATAGGTGCAGGGGTTCTAGCACTTGGACCATTCTCTACTGCTTTCCCAGGCCATCAGCAGAGATCTGGATTGGAAGAGGAGCAGGTAGGACACAAACCAGCACTCATATGGTATGCCAGCCCCATAGGTGAAAGCTTAACTTACTAAGCCAAAGCATCAGCATCTGTAGTTTCTTTTTAATTTTTATCCATTGGTATTCATTGTAATTGAAAGTGAGAGAGTTAGAATCAGCACAGTCAGAGATCTTCCATCTGCTGGTTCACTCCTCAAATGTCCACAGCAGCTGGGGCATGGCTAGGCCAAAGTCAGGAGCCAGGATCTCAAACAGGGTCCCATGTAAGAGGCAGGGATCCAAGTACTTGAGCCATTACCTACTGCGTTCCAAGATGCACATTAACAGGAAGTTGGAATTGAAGGCAGAGCCAGGAATCAAACCTAGTTAATGCAGTGTGTGGGATGCCAGTGCCCAAACAATATCTTAACCAATGTGCCAACCCCTCCCCCAAGGAGTTTTGAACCTTATTTATTTTTCCTTGTACTTTTCTTAGTACCCATAACACTTAGTGATTAGCACATGGTGAACGCTTGTTAAGTACTCTGAACTCAAAATTAAGAAAGGAATGGAAGAGAAAGAGGAGGAAGGTGCCAATCTTGGTGAGGGAGTTTTCTCCTGCTTCAATAATACTTATATTTAAAAAACATTTTTAATATGAGGAGTACCAGATTTGAATATCACTGCCTGGAAGATGGATAAACTCAACTAAAACACATTGACTCATTTCTGTGAATGACCCGAAAGAGTGGTCTTCTCTCTGCTGTCTGGGAAGGGGAAAGGATGCACTGGTAAAGAGACACTGAAAGGATCAGGTAACAGATCCGATTTAGGCAGTGAGTGTCCCTGATCTTGTTTAGGGAAAATAGTTACTCATGCTTCTAGTGCTGCCAACACATTATCTGTTTGGCAAGACTAATTTTGTGGTGTGCACCAGAGGAAGCAAAAAGGGATCAAGTTGTTGTGTTAGAAATGTAGTGGGGGGTGGGAGGAGCTGTCACAAATGGGAAAGGTAAACCCTTGGAAGATATAATTTTTGGCACGAAAATGATACAAACGGACAACTGAGGAAAAATACTACAACAAAAAGACCATGATCTTTGTTTGAGAATATACTTAGTTTCCAATTTCTGAACTATTCTCTGAAATTGAAACACCTGAGTGTATATTATCAATGTCTTAATTTTGATAGCTCATTTGGTGAATTAGGAAAGCACTGTCAACATGACTTATTAAAAAGCTGACCATGAATGCTTGAAAACTCCTAATTAACTCCTATTAAACTCCTGACTCAATAATGAATAGCAGCTTTTTTTTTTACTGTTAGATTCAGTAGATTCTGCCTTGAATGTATAAAGGGACCTCAAAATGCTCATGAAAAATAAATTCAAAAGATAAGTTTATTTGGAAGCAAAACTTTTTGAAACCCATGAGTTGTTTTTTCAAAGTACACATTTTCTGTGAACTTGTTGAAAATCAAATCCAATACAATCCCATCAAGGTGGCATGTACCAATGCCATCTCACTAGTCCCAGTGATCAATTTCAGTTCACAACTGATCACACTGATAGGTCTAAGAGTCAAAGGGATCACACAAACAAGACTAGTGTGTGCTAATACTAACTGATAGAATCAAAAAGGGAGAGAACGATCCAACATGGGAAGTGGGATACACAGCAGACTCATAGAATGGCAGATGTCCTAAACAGCACTCTGGCCTCAGAATCAGCCCTTAAGGCATTCGGATATGGCTGAAGAGCCCATGAGAGTATTTTAGGCATGGAAAGCCAAGACACTCTGGGAAAAAAAAATAAGAAGACCTAAATGAAAGATCTCTGCGAGTGAGATCCCAGTGGAAAGAACTGGGCCATCAAAGAAGGAAGTACCTTTCTCTGAAGGGAGGAGAGAACTTCCACTTTGACTATGACTCTGTCGGAATAAGATCGAAGTTGGCGAACTCAAAAGGCTTCCATAGCCTTGGCAACTCATGACTAGAGCCTAGGGAGATTACTGATCCCATAAACAAGAATGTCAAATTGTTAAGTCAACAACAGGAGTCACTGTGTACTTACTCCTCATGTGGGATATGTCCTTAATATGTTGTCCAATATGAAGTAATGCTATAACTAGTACTGAAACAGTATTTTATACTTTGTGATTCTGTGTGGGTGCAAACTGATTAAATCTTTACTTAAAATATACTGAATTGATCTTCTGTATATAAAGATAGTTGAAAATGAATCTTGATGTGACTGGAATGGGAGAGGGAGCGGGAGATAGGAGGGGTGCGAGTAGGAGGGAAATTATGGGGGAGGAAAGCCATTGTAATCCATAACTGTACTTTGAAAATTTATATTTACTAAATAAAAGTTAAAAAAAGAAAAGAAAATCAAATATATATATACATATGCACATATATAATGTGTGTATGTGTAGTTGTGTTTTGTTTATTAAATATAACTAGCAATGAACACTACATTTAAAAACAGAATATTTAGCAAAGTTGATGTTAGTTATATTTTTTAAAAGTCTTTGATGTAGTTTAAGCAAACAAGTGTTTTACCAAACATTAACTGCTTTAGCTTAATACAAGTGTACTGCTGTGTGGTGGTGGACAAACCCTAAAGTTAACTAATGAAGCGCTATTGACATTTGAACTTAAGTCAAAAGATAAAGCCCTCATGGGAAAAATTTCCATTCTTATATTCTTTTTTTATTTGTGTTTACTTACTGTTTGGGTTTAAACTTAAATATTATTGCTATTATTCTTGGTTTGACAATTCGTTTTTTTAAAAATGCACAAGGTGAGCAATAATGTAAAATCTTTGGTCATCTTGATTTCATATTTATGAAAGAAGATGTGTATATTTCTTACTGATGTACATGCAACTCACCTAGATGATGTTTTTTCTATGAACTGATTGTTGTTATAAACTCTCTGTTGTATTGTATCTAAAGAGATGGAGCGAAAGAGAAGGTAGCTAATAACAGCTCAGTTGTCGCATCAGGATACTACCTCCTGCCAGGTCAAAGATAAAACAAAATAGATGGTAACCTGACCTACACACAAATCAAACCTACAGACAGAAAAGGGTAGAGTGTGATCAGTGGTGGCTGAGGAGATA